TCAGACCCCTTATCTCTCACCTTGCTTTTCCTCTGCAGCCTGGGTGATTAGGTATCATGCAGTATCCTTCTAGGGCTCCTATCTCAGTTACTGCACAGTTAGTGGTATCTGCTAATTGCATCTGGACTCTTGCCCCTTGCAATAGGATATATCACAGATACTTGCCAAGGTTTCTGAAGGAGGAGCTTGAACGAGTAGAGATCATCTGCGACTTTCACATGCATCTGTTACATCTGAGTGTGAATCCCTTGCAGGGAACTGTCTGCACCAGAAACCAGCCTCCCTTTCCTGATCTGGAACATTTTCCTGGAGGAAGAGCCCTGTAGAGGAGTTTGTTCAGATATTTCAGGAGCTTTGCTTAGATTTTCAACATGAGGCTAACCAAAGGAAATGGAGCGCTGTTTTGTTTCTAGGCAATGGAGACGAGAGAGGGAATGGCAGAGTCCAGCTTCACCCACCCATCCATTGGTGAAAAAAACTTGATGCAGCTAGGTTTCAAGGCAGAGGAGCATGAAGCAGTGACCATTTGGCCTCCTGCATGCCTTGGAAAGGTGTGGGCACACTGGTATCGGAGTGGCAGGAAGGAACTATCCCTGGGCATGCTGGTAACTGTATCTCTAGGATGAAAGTCTTCTAACCCGTCAGAAGCTCGCAGTAAGACTTGACCTTGAAGGAGACCTCAAAAAGCTCTTTCATGTTATTTGTACTCAGAACAGTTTGAAATTGTTCACTCTATGGGCATTTAGACAGTGACTCCTCCACGTGCTGTGTGATTTTGATGATAGCCGCAGTTACCTGTCATCAGATCTGTTGAGCTTCCTCTTAATAGACTCCTCGCGAAAAATACCTTCTCTTTACAGAGACTTCTTGCTGTATCCAAACCACTTTCCCATCCACTTACTTACATATTTGTCCTTTCATTTCCTTTGTCCTTTGATTTCCCTGCTCTGCGTGGCTGAGAATTAGAGTCACAGTCATTGAACTTGTAGGTTACCAGGAAGAAATATTACCTACATTCATTCCCTGGTGCCTCTGCTAGCTTTGGCATATGGCTCCTGCAGGGCTGGTAGGAATCTTTCTGCTATGAGAGATGTAGATACGATACATGAACACGAGCATAACTCCTGACCGTGCTCAACAGGGTAAAATTGCTCTCTAACACTCTATCCTGGGCTTTTTGGAACCTTTTGCTGGTTATTGCTTCAGAAAGTGTGTTAATTTTCCTCTCCCTTGTTTCTTTTTTTTAAATTCTCAATTTTTTTCCTTCCCCTCCCCATCCTGCCTGCCTCCATCTCTCTAGTTCTCATTAGAGCTGCCAGTTTTTCCCAGGGCAGGTCTAGACAGAGCTTCCTCTTCCACCGCTCAGCCAGTGGAGTTACTTGAGCATGGCACGAGATGCCATTTCTCCTGGTACACTGAAGTGCTTCCTCTGCTGCTGTGCTTTGGGGAGGAAGAGACCAAAGCTGATTAATGGCATCAGGGTTTCTGCAGAGCACTGCCTAATCCGGGCATCCTTTTTTATTACTTTATTTTAACCCTGCTATATTTAACAGCTTTAAGGCTTGAAACCTGGTCAATGCTTTTTCTGCACGCCTTTCCTTCTTGGTGCACTCTTTATGTAAGTACTTCTGCATTTCTTGATGTTTCTTCTTTATGGCCCACTCCTTGCTTCAGACTTGGGCTTTCTCAGCTCTAAACGTGACAGGAGTCCAGTCACTTCTGTCTTGTATGAAGACGAAGAAATTCACCTGCTGGGGCTGCTGCTGTCGGTCGTTTTGGTTGCGAGCAGCGCTGACATGCCAACACGTGAATCTCAGATTGTGTGTTCCCAGCAGGACAAGGGACAAGACTGCAGAGTAAAGATCCTGTTCTTCTCACGAGGCAGGTCCCTGGAAGTGTGAAGAAACCTGATACCTGTTTAGGGAGAGGGTTCCACCCATTCTGACAAACCCATCCTGCACTGACGTTTTGCCCCCTTCCTACCAGGAAAGTCATTGCATTTTATCCTAAGGAACAATATGCAAAGGGTGCAAAAGGCTGAGTTCCTGTGTGGCACCTTTCTAAGCCAAACCACTTTAGATGAAGTGTCTGCTTAGCACTGGATTATCATCCTAAACTCTAACTAGGGTATAGGACCCACCAACAGTTTAGTCTCAGTGACTAGCCAAAGCTGTGAGTATTTCATGGTAACAATGTAATTGAGAACCAAATTATTGAGAGTAACCTATGGTCTCAGTTAACCATGTGTGACATAACCAGTGCACTGAGGAGATAAAATAATAGGATACCTTGCATTCTGCACGTGGGACAGAGTGCAAAGAAAGCAGTTTTTAAAACTGATCCCTATTTGAATCCAGAGCATTTGCCAGAGGTGCTCTCCATTGGAGAGCACAGAAGCTTTTTTCTAAGCAATTGCTTGGGGTGAATTCATTTTTATTGCTTGGGGTGAACCCACCTATTGTGGCTGCAAGTTTGATGGCTCTTTGTAAATAAACTCCTTGGAGAAAGCAGGACTAGCTTATGAGATGGGGAGAGAATGTATTTTTATGCAACTTTGAGTGGCCTTTCAAACCCTGAGATGAATGATTTGTTTTACTGGTTGTTGTTATATAGTATTATAAGTATTACGTGTTTGAAAGTTTGGGAATAATATTCACATCTATGATGCTTGTAAACACAACAGTATTTATAAATGAATAAAATAAGAGTTGATAAAATAGAAGCTTTGACTTTGCTTCCATCTTTCTCTAATAAGAACCAAGTGATGAGTTCGGATGAAGAACAGATATGGCTGTTGCTCCCAGCACCAGCTGAGGAGAGTAAGTCCGGCCAGTTGGGTTAGTTAACCTCAAACTTCAAAGACAAAACTAAAAGCACAGGAATCATTGTGTGTGCTCTTCATTTTTTCTGTATGTCCCCGTTTTCTCCAGAAGTTTTATTCAACGTATGTTTTGCGTTAGAAGTATCTGGGCATCTGTCTCTTGAGAGCAGCCTGCAAGTCTGGATTCTTTCTGTCATGGTCTCGCTGCAAGAGCATCGTCCCAGATCAAATTAAATGTCAGCACTGAACTGGAGGCCAAAAGGGAGAAGCTGCTGTTAAGCTGTTTGTTTAGCTTGAAAAGCTTGCTTTTTCAGCATTCCCATTGCACAACAGTAGCAAACATCTTTAAAAGCAGAATTGCTCTGGAGCTATGTACCTTATGCAGTTGTAGCACAAAGAAAGGCGACTTTGTGGACCCCACATGTTTAAGGAGAGCTCAGAAGAAGGAATTGTGGGTGTACATCCCTGAAATCCATCTGACTCATTTGGAAGGCACACAGGACAGGGTCACATCTGACCTGAATTGCGGGAAGCGTCTTGAGACATGGATGGGGAAGAAATGTTCCAGACATCATTTTTAAATAGGAATTAGAGGAGTTTATGAAGCTAAAAGCAAAATACTAAAATGGCCAAGCGTTTTCTTGCCAACTCCTGGCAGTTGGAGACATACTCCAGGCCCATTTCCCTTCTAATCAGGTCTCCCTCCACGATGCTGGAGCCCTGCTTTTGCTTTCCTCGAGCTTAGCCAGGATCAACCCATAGCGAAGACATGAGCGCCGCAGCCCACATCTTCAAACGTGTCTCAAGTAAGGTTGCTAGAAAACTCTACATAGGTAGTGTGGTCTTCGAAGCTGGTTATTGCAGCTTTCCCTTGGGGTTTATGGGTGCCCAGCACCTGTGCAAAGTAGAGCATGAATATGTGTCCTAAATGTGAACTTAAGGACCAAACTATAGGAGTTCAGGTGTGAAGAGTTTGGTGGTGACCTTTGACATCTCACCAGCCACACTTAACTGAGATGTGAGCTCAAACCGTTCAGCGGGGCGAGGGAGTAATGTTTGCGTGTGTGAGCTCGCATACATGTTTTGGGAGACCGGGGCTGCAGGCCGGCCCCATGCTTAGCTCGCAAGGCCCCTCGCAGGGCTCCCCCCACCCCCATCCCTCCCTCAATCCCTGGCTCACAGCCTTGAGACCTGGCCTTCCCTGTGGACGCCCCGCCGAGCCTCCCCTCAGCAAGAGCAACCAAGGGCAAGGGGGGGCTCCTTTCAGCTCATTTCTTTAATAAGGAGACAGAGATTGTTTACAAAATAACAAGTCAACATAGAGACAGAACCGACAGAGTCCACACGAGAGGAAGGGGCTTTAAAAGCAGCTTCCTGCCGGAGCTGAGCGCTGCGGAGACCAGGACGGGGATGACACACCGGGTGGGAGAGCAGGACTGAGCCCCAGGGAGGGCTGCAAGGGGCCGGGATAGAGCAGGGTCTGGCCTGGCTTCCAGCACAAGCTGCGCCGGGCTGGTCCCCTCCCTCCAACGCTCCAGCCAGCGGCCCCCGCACGGCTGGACGCAGGCCAGC